AAATTTTTTGAATGTATGATTAACAAATTTTGATGAAAATGTTTGCATTATTTATAAATTGTAATATAGTGAATATATTCATTTGAATGTTAAAAATATACTCATGATAATTAGATTTCCAATATAAATATTATGATTATGAAAAGTATATTTAGTGATAATTCCTAGTGTTTAAAGATATATTTGTGTATAAAAGTGAATTTGAATTTACATTATATTTTTATTATATATGTGTTAACGACAAAAATAAAAAAGGTTTATTCCGTAAGAAATAAAAAATTAAGTGAATATTAAAATTAATTACTTTATTGTAATTGTAGTGAATATATAAAATATTTTTTCCTCTACTTTTATACTCTCTTATGAAAAATATTATATATTTCGCCAGAAATGGAAATTATTATATTTATTACAGCATTTAGTAAAATGGTTGTACAATACTTTAGTTAAAGCTATATTAAAAAACATTTCCTTATTTAACAAATAATTGTAGTTAATATAAAAGCATATCATATACAGTATATGAATATTATTGGGCTTACCATTCCCACATTCCTATCATATTGTCAATGTTATATATTTATTACAATATCAATTACAATTTAGCCTAATATACATCACAGATATTTGTAAAATTACTTGATTATTTTCGATTTTTATAGTTGTACTCTAATATTTACATGTATTCACACATTTACATCCATTAAAATGTTTGTTTTAATTTGTGTCAATAAATCACAGAAATATAAGTTGAATCCAAAATGAGATCCAAAAGGTCCTTGATGAGATAACAATTTTAATCATCTAATGCGTTTATAATTACTTATCATTTTATAATAAATTATATTAAGCTCTAATTTAAAATACATTTAGATATTAATCAAATTATTGATTTTAATTTCGAAAAATAAGCCTAAAATCCTGTTTGAAATCCCTTTTAAACTAAGAGTTTTTTTAAAAAATAATCTCATGTGAATATAAATATAAAGGATATAAACTATTTTTAAAAATTCCTATGAAATTTTATTTTATATTATAAATACTTACTAATGATATAAAAATTATCTCATTTTAGAATTATTTTTTGCTGAGAATTAAATATATATATAAAATAGTTACTTATATTTTATTGTTTTTTATGTTACATTTTAGCGGCTTTTTTCCTGTAGACTTTGCACACAAACTAATAATTGAAATATAAATTCAAACACAAAATGTCAGTTTTAGCGTTAAGAAAACTTTTTTGTTTTATTGATTTCTTACTTAAATACACAAAATATTACAGTAAACTCTCGTTAATATGAAGTTTATTAAACTTGCTATACCATTAAGTGAATGAATTATGTTTACGATACAAATCTTGTGTATGTTATAACGAATTTATGTTGAAGTAAATGCTGTCTAAAACTTATGCAAATTATTAATCGATTATTGGATATCAAAAGCATTTCATAACTTTATAATCATCTCTCTCTCTCTCTCTCTCTCTGTCTCTCTCTCTCTCTCACACACACACACGACTGTCATGTGTTAAATAATTTATAATAAGATTGGACTTTTCCGTTTAATAAGCAATTAGAAATTAATTAAAAACATAATTGCTATTATTTCATATAAAAACGGGAACATCGTAATTACAATATAAGCAAAATTTTGAGTGTATTTACTAATATAATAAAATCCATTATATATTTGGCTAATAATAAACTCGTCGTTAAGTGTTTTCCAGTAATAAAACAACAAAACAATTTCCATTAATATAAGGAATAATAAAAAAAATTGTATTTATTGATGAATGTATAGAAATATTGTCGTAAAAACTTTCCTTGTTTATCATCCCCACCATAAATTGATGACATAACAAACTTTAGTTGTAATTTGAAAATTGTTTTTGTATATTGTAAAAGAAATATTATTTTATTTATAACAAAGCATTTTTTGAGATATTATTAAGATTTATATACTTTTGAATGTTTTTTGAATCTCAAAACACTTTTCATTAGTTTTATCACTCGATTCTCGATATGGAAATGTAATATAAAAATATTTATTTTCTGAAAAATAGGTTTAAGTTTTTTATTTCGAGAAATTTAAAGTAAGATAAATCTAACAACTTATGTCCTTTTATGATAAACTATTATTTTTGAGACTTTTATATTGAATAGTAGTTTCAAATGTATTTCGAGTTTAGTTTATTGTTTTGCAACCAAAAGTCTAAAATCTTAAATAATCATGTTTAAAATTATTTTCCATTCAATTAAGTTAATGAGTAAAGTTAAAAGTATTATGAAATAAAAAGGTTTTCAAACAATTTATAACTTTTAATTCCCTATCAATATTATACACAATATATAATTTTTAAAAGTTTACACTTTTATTTTTCAAACCGTTAACATAATGAAAGTTTGTTATAATAGCTATTATTTATTGTTATATCGATTGGTGTGTATATGAATGGCATGTGAAATAAATTATTATCAAAATGAATTGAAACTTATTATTCACTTGGACTAATAAATTGCTTAATACTTTCCCGGCTCACTATCACCACCACTAATGCACTGACTATTAGTAGCCTATTTGTATGGGATATGAGATTCACTATTGTGTTGTCGCATATGTGCCGGATCTTTCAAAGTAAATTGAAAGTCTCTCTCTCTCTCTCTCTCTCTCTCTCTCCACAATATTTTCACACACTATTAAGAGCCCATACACTCGCTAATGAATGTGTACTTTTCATCACACATACTGTGATACCCCTCGCATACACGCACCATATCTCAAGCTGTTTTACACTACCAGTGCTCTTAAGAATACATAAGCGCACAGTTAGATAATATTTTGGCACTAATATCCTCTGACAGATACATGACTATAGTATGTATGAGTGGTAGAGACAGAGAGTGAGAGAAAATATAAGGCGTTATGTATTTGCTGTATGATTTTAAGAGATAAATGATGACTGACTTTAAGATAGTGAGAGTGAGTGAGTGAGTAGGGGAGAGAGAGAGAAGAGAGAGAGACAGCACTGGTATCTTGTTTGGCACGACTAGTATGCTTGATATGTAAGGTATGGACGATTGGATGCATGCAATGAATGTATTGTAAAATGTATTTACTTTACAGAATATTCTTGCAAATATTGAGTGAATAATTGTAGACTTGGTGCACAACCAATGTAAATGTCAAATATTATTTGAACAAGGATGTACAAAGTTATTTTAATATAATCCATTAAAACTTTATTAAATATTAAGTTATTTTATTTTTTGTTTTGTAAGCAATCTTTTGCATTGAAGTCACGAAATATAATCAGAAATGTGAGCGTAAAATGCATTTAAACTTTTTTGTGTGTCGAGTAAATTTGATTATATCGTGATAGTTTAAAGTAGCTTTTATTATACATGAGTTACAGAATCGCCAGACATTACACACACAAAAGTCAATCACTTTTCAAAACTAAAAGCACTTTAGCTATCCGTATATCTTATGTTTCAGAGAAAAATATTTTACATTTTAAAACATGATTATTATAGAGTTTACTGTATATTCTGTGATAGCATTTTCGCTAACATTTTATAATCATATGTGAAGTGAATCTGATATAAGAAAATATTATATATGCAAAAAATAACATTATTTTAATGCATTCATAAATTCACTGCTATTAACGTGTAATTCAATAATATGGAAAAGTATTTGTATGGGAGAGCACATGTAGTTTTTTATATTTATATTGTTGCCTTTGCTATCTATCATTGAATGTCTGAGATGTTTAATAAGAGTCAAAGATAACAGATTTTTCTTATCATACATACAGCACGTTATGAGGGATTGGGATGAGGGGAAGGAGGTGTCAATGGGACTAAACTGTCGATGCATTTAATCCTTTTTGGTATTCTTATTCTTTGTGTATTAACTAAATATTTCCCATTCAATACATGTATGCGAGAGAGAGAGAGAGAGAGAGAGAGAGAGAGAGACTAAATATATATGCAGTACATAATATATTCCGAGTGCTAGAGAGAGATATTTGGTATTATAAGTGTTGGCATAGAGAGGGAAAGGGAGGATATGATTACCCAGCGATCGATCCATCATTTTTGTGTCCAAATCCTAATATTAAAACCTCTTTCGCTGAGAAAGTTATGCCCAAAAAATACAATAAATTCTCGCTTTTTAGGACTTATTAATTATTTATGGTGTTGTGTATTATGTAAAAAATAGTTTTTGTCAAAAACTTTCATTTTTCCTACTATTGATAAAAATCTATAAATTTTTTATGCAATCGCAAAAAAAGTTGATATGAGTTATGAATTTGTTTTGGTTTAAGTTCATTGTAACGAGTGCATATTGTATTTATATAATGTATTTGTAATTTTGTGTATAGTGTATTTTTTTTTCTAATCGCAAGCGTTTATAATGAATCAATTATTTTCAAATTATTGCACAAATCTATTATTAAATACAGTATACCGGCTTATAATAACGAGTTAGATATTAGGCTTGTATTTTGAAAAATTACTATTTTAAGTGAAGTTTCTACAAAATATTTATTAATTACTTCTTGAAATATCTTTATTGAGAAATCTATTATAAAATATATTATTAAAAATTGAATTTTTGTTTGTTATTTTAAAGCCTCAAATAAGCACATATAATATAAATGAAAACCTAAAAATATTTTATTTTAAAGAGAATCACTCTAAAAATATGATGAATATTAAAAATTTAATATTGTTTAGTTACGCAATATATACTGTATCAAAATACACATTATATTAAAGTTACTTCAAATTAAATTTTAATAACAATTTTCTCTATTTTTATATTTTCCTATAGACTGACGAAAATCGTTTGCTAATGAAATCCAAATGACATAAGAGTATCGCAACTGTATTTTCGTTGTTGTGTGGGTTATCATCATATTAATAGTGTATAAATACAATACCAGAATATTCTGTGCGAACAGATAGTCTGTATGATTGGCTATAAAAACACATTCTGAAGAATATTCTGTTGTATTCAGCGTTTGTACTGTGAATTCAAGAGTGAATCCGAGTATATATTTGAACGGAAATACAAAATGAGTGAAAAGACACCGGAAAAGAAGTCGGAGACCTATCAACTGGACGAGGTATGTGTGTCGGTGATAGAACTACCTGTGCTCGTACTGATAAGCGATACACTGTTTAAACATTAGAAATCCTGTCAACAAAAAATTGATTTCCTAAAATTGTATTATGCAAATATTTAAATATGTTTTAAAAGTATTAGATTTGTTTGCTTAGCGCTCACAAAACAAATAGTGTGCTAATTGCTGTGTTTATTTAGTTATTTATTAATTTATTAAAAAGTAGTTTAGTTTATTTCAAATAGCATATTACTACAGTTTAGCATTGTTTTATTAGTAATAGTACTTTATTGTTAATATACAATACCTACCAACCGATAGTTATAATAATTACAATTATTTATAAAATCACTCAAAAATATTAACAATTATTTTCAAACTGAATGTTTATTTTGCAAATGATTTGTTTGCATGAAATAGCTGTCCAAAAAGGAAGAGGAGGCCAATGAGGACACGCCTCTGAAGCCCCGGGACAATGATGTGGAGGCCGGCGGACAGACAGACATATCGGAGACGAAGGACAACGAGAAGTCAGTGATGGCTTCGGCCGACGAAAAGGCGGCGGAAGACAAGCAGTCGTCCGCACTCTTAGATCAGCGCAAAGTTAAACTCATTTTAGCGATTGTCGGCGCAGTCCTACTCGTACTCCTACTCCTCATTGTCGCCATACTTGTCATCATCTATAGGGATGGGGTCAGTAATGCTCATTACCTTTGACTTTGTATTGTTTTACCTCTGAGTGAGTGAGTGAGTGAGAGAGAGAGAGAGAGAGAGAGAGAGAGAGAGACTTATAAACTGTAACATAGTATAGTTCAGCTAGTTATCATATTATTATATCCGATTTCTCTTTCCAATATTGGTTTTGAATTGGTTTTGGGTTTTCTTATTTTATTAATTTTTAAAAATATAATTTATTAATGATTATTGATTCAATTGCTAAAATTTCTTTGACTTGAATTAAGACTGTAAATTTAAATATCATTAATAATAAAATTAAAACATTTTATTAGTTTGTCATTTGGTCTCAAAGAAGTTTTCTACAGTTACTAATAAAAACTTAGGAACTGTTTTGAGAGACATTTTAAAATGACGTTACATACCTGTAGGTATACTTTCCTCATAATCATCTACATACCTGCCCACCTGTTTATCTATTAAAGATCATAGGGTTTATATAATTTTCGATGTTCATTTACTACTAACGAGTAAGGTATGAGTTTTAAGTAAATGCAAAATTTTCAACTCTATGGCGCGCTTAAGACTTAATTGTTGGGATCAATCTATGCGTCCATTTGTAGGCTTGTTATAACTGATTATGAATATCATATGATTTACAGTATTTGAATATCCTTAATAATATTATAGTACCTGGAAGACATAAAGGTCAGAAATAATTTTTGCACACTTTTAAAGTGTACTATTATGAAATAATTTCTCAAAATGACATCTGTTCTTGATAAAACGCGACTTATTTTACCTTTAATCAAAATTTATACTCAAATAAAATTATTTTAAATGTTGCATAAACTTTATATTAGCTTATATTAGATTTGATTAACAAAATTTGATAAATATTTAACATAAGTTTATTAGTTTGGGAACATAAACTAATGAAATATTTTTGGTATAGCTTTTGGCACAATGCTATTCAAATTGATTAAATTTAATTGAACGGAATATTATAAATGCATTAAGAATTTTACTATAATTTCAATTATTAGCAGTTTATGATACATGTCTAGACATTACTTAATCGATTGCAATATTGAGATATATTGGTGTGTGTTAAAATTTGAGGCCATAAACATGTATACATCCTTTTCTATCGCGTAAATAATGTTATTAATTTTCCACACATTTATGAATTATATATTATTTTTCTATATTATTATTATTGAATTTATATACAGTAGCTACCGGTGTTTTCCGTGATATACTATACTACTTGTTATTGTAGGGTTGAATGCTCTCTCTCTCTCTCTCTCTCTCAGAAAAATTTTCTAAATAAAATTATTATACAGTACATTTCAAAATTTGCTATAATATTTTAATATACTTAAAATCTTATCTATTAAGGTATATAAAATATAATACTTTATGCTACCTAATCATAAAAATATGAAATACTTTTCCAGAATATTCTTTAGTGAATTCAATTATATTTCGAAAGAAAACTATATTCTTACAAACTTATATCATATACTATAAATAATATATGATGCTCAGGGTTGCACTTAATATGACTTATAATAATGCTACAAATATATTCTGTATGATTGCTATTATTAAGGTTTTTGCATGCATTGAGAATGTCATGGATACTCCTATTTAACCTAAATACTACTTCATATAAAAATTAAATTAACTTTTCATATATAATATTATTTGTGAATTATCTTTGCTCTGGAAAAATCATTTCTATATTTCAGATAAGAGTGGGAGATATTGAGAAATATTATTGCATTATATGTTTGTACAGAATATTCTCTCCTTAAAAATTACAAAACTTTGCATATTTTGATTGAAATTATTTTCTCAATTTAAAATCCTATTTTTGCATTTAAGCTTATTATAAATTCAATACTTTAAATATCCTGAATCATGAGAAACTTTTATCACAATAAATTATTTTTATTCATAATATAAAATTATTTTCAAATAATATAATAAATATAATATAATCATGCACTTAAACATTTAAATGTATCTGGTTTAAAAATCAATCTAATAAATTATTATAATAAATATTAACAATTGCATTTAATTCACTCATATTTAGTGGGATGAGGACAGCACCTACCGCTACATTAGACTCGTACCGAAACCTAACGGCCCTCAAAACCTACTACAGTTCCGTCACGGGGGTATGCCCTACGAGGGGAGAGTGTGGCCCGACCTGGTCCGTCAAATGGACGACTTCGTGCACAACTACAACCCGGAGCTAAACACTCGCACCAAAAACGTGTCGGAATGCATACCCGGGTTCGAGCGAAAGCCGGGCACTCAGTGTCTGTTTGACATCCGCACGATAGCGCCCGAATGTACCAAGGGCGATTATGGGTACGCCACGGGCACCCCATGTGTGTTCCTACAGTTTAATAACATAAGCGGTTGGACTCCCGAGTTGTACACCGATGAGGACTTCTACAGTAATAACTCATTGCCAGAAACCCTCCGACAGTTTTCCCGGACATCGCGGATGGTTTTCATTGAGTGTAAAGGTATGTGTGATTTGTACTGTTTTTATGGGAAGTATGTGTGTCTACCTCATAGGCATCCATTAGAATATTCTGCTATTTTTAGTTAGAGTTAGTGACTATAATGTTTTAACTGAATGATAGATATTAATCATAGAATTTATTTTAGCTTGATAAACAATGATAATTTAATTGTGATTTATTACTACTTATCATGTAAGAGATTAATGTATTAGGTAATAAGGTATTTGATATTAATATTTTAATCAACTTATTCATTGAGATTAGGTTATTTTTGTTAGTTAATTATTAACATCTTATATAAAGTTAATTGATTTTCTAAGAATTTTGATAAATATTTCTATGCAAAACTATTCTCCAAAAATTATTTTTAAAAATATTTTGAATTCTTACTGAAATAACTTTTTACGAAATACTTTCCAAATATTTTCAAGAATTTTAAATATTCTCATGAAATACACATAAAAATAAGAATATATTTCTAAATTCTTTTGGTCATACACTATGTATTTAATTAAAAGCATTAAACATTTGTTAGAAATAAATTTCACAACAATTTCATTATTGATCGCAAAAGTCAAGACTACCAGTGCTCCACAATCCCTATCCCTATGCCGTATCTCTTATATATATGGAGAAAATCCATTTCCACATTCAGGCAATGAAATAGTCGTCCAAAAATACGATACGAACTGTTGCTAAGCGCTGGTAGTTTTATAACTGATAGAGCACTGGTAGCTCAAAGTATTTCTATATATAGAGAGATTGAGTATAAAAATCTCAGTTTTCAATACAAATTAATTGTGTTTTTACTTTTGCTAATACCGCAGATTTAGCCAGCTCATATTATTGGGCTTATAATATCTACTGTGAAATAGTGTATATTATTTCTAAATCCTATTTCTAATTATAGTTATGATTGGTATTAGAGTCGTGTTCACAATAACGAGTGTTTATTGAATTTTGTGTTGTCGTCGGAAAAAAACAAAATGTTTATAAGAAACAAATATTAGGCCAGAAGTTAGAGTAAAAATAAGATTTAATTTATTTGCAAACTAATGGAATTGAATGATAGAAAAAAAGACATTTAATTCTTGGAAATTCTTTTATTATTTTTTAGAAATAATTAAATTTGAATCAAACATTAAGTTTTGACATTTTAATTGAATAAATTATATACCGTATTGTAAATTTTATTATGAATATATTATGATTATAATAGTTTCTATTTTTATAACTTATTTAAATGGTATCTTATTAGAGACTGTAGTTTATTAATTTATAAAAAGTTATTATTTCTTATTAATTTGATTAAAGATAAAGATTGGTTCCTGATAATATACTATACTGTATATTGCAACTTGTATAAATCATTGATACTTTTAAAAATATTTTCAATTAAATGTAAACTACAATATATTAGAATATTTTTATTAGAATAAAAATATGTTAATTACAATTTTACTAAAATTAAATTTATATCCATTGGTAGGCAATACGATCGTAGACCAGGAAAACATGGGCCCCATCGAGTACACCCCTACCCAAGGCTTCCCCATATACTACTTCCCATACGACGGGCACCCGGACTATATGCCACCCTTCGTGGCCATACGATTCAAATCCCCGGCCACTTCCATAGCCATAGGAATCACGTGTCGACTGTACGCCAAGAATCTCAACCAGACGTCCGACGCTAGTTTCGAGACCATCCCGGAGCCGGTGCCGGCCCTACCATTCAATCTATTCATCGAATAATGTGTTATATATATATAAATGATATATGAGTTCCGGGGGCACCGGTAGTGGACTGATGATGGACTGAGCATATACTACCGGTGCTCCACGAGAATTAGTGGTATATTATTATTAATGGGAAATACAATTGGGATAAAAAGACTAGTCATTGAGAATTGTGTGTGAATTGAGACAAACGTATACAAAATGAGACAAAACTTTTGATTTTTAATTATACTGTGAATTAATATTATTATAAAATTTTGACTCTAATTATCCATTTTGTGTATTGACTACACGTGTGGCTATGAAAAGGACCGAGTTTGTGTTTTGGTTGACTAGATTTTAATCTATAAATCATTTTGGATTTTTTAATGTATAAATGTTTGCTAAAAGTAACGCCATTTATATATTAATGTAAGTTATATTTGGGTCACATTTGACTTCATACCTAAATAGCATTAATATAAACATGTTTGTCAAACAAACAGTAAAAAGCAGCATCAATATTGTCACAAATATACATATTTGTCCGGAATATTCGCTAACATAGACTATAAATAGGAATATTCTTGACAAGAATTATGGCTTTTATTGGTCGACAGAATTAATCATTTTAACACATTTTTGTGATTTTTTCGCATTTATTTTTTCATTTAATCCATTATATTAAATGTGTTTTTATTATTTTTACACTTTATGTCACACACAGACACCTTGTTTCAAATTATGCCGACTAATAGAAATGTATACAATTATCTCATTTTTTCATTTTTTGATTATTTATGTTTAGCGGTGACAATAAGCCAGGAATTATATATCCAAATGGTTTAGTCTGGGATTAATTGGATTTATATCAGGATTGCAAATGAACAGTACAAATATGAAAGTGTGGTTTTTATACAGTGTTGATATTAATATAAATTAATATAACTGTATATTAGATGTGAATTTATTTTGGGACTAATTTTTATGCTTTTAATCTATATAAGTTTTAATATGTTAATTTAGGATTAGTATCGGGACATGTATTAAATAACAAAATTTTATATATGTATTTCCAGATTATTCTTTGTATTTATAGCCAATTCTATTGGTGTCACGAGTTTTATATAAAGTTTTGTTATTTAATACATTTTGATATGATTTTGGTCATAAGCTTTACATGATTTTATTGTTTTTTAATCATTTTGTGTATATTTCTAATGATATATAAATTAGCCAATTATTATGTCTGACACTTCCGGACAGTTAGACATCTATAAGTTAGGAACAGAATCTCAAAATGTTTGGACATAATATTGAGTATAATATTATCCACATGTATATAGAATTGCAGAATATTCTCAACAATTACAATATATATGATAGCCTATTGTCTAATAGCCTATTGGAAAATGCTTGCAACAAAACAATTGCCAAAACTCTTTACACCCATAATTCACTTGTCATTCAATTTCTTTATACTTAACTTAATCACCAATTTTATAGAATCAACAAAAATAACTTCAACTACTTTTTAGATACTTTCGGTAATTGATTTAACCAAGATCAATTGCTGAAACAAAAAAGTCAACTGAATCCTAGTGTGCTCTCCATTGCTCTCATCCACAGTCTCTTTACCATTATATCCATCAGATTATAGTCTCTTTTTGTACTAATCTTTTAATCTTTTAGACAATATTTCCATATAATTATGAATATATTAATCATTTATGTTTTTTGCTAAAATTTAATTACTACTTAAAAACTACTGTTTCACTCGTATATAATATGCTGTTTCTAAAAAAAGTTTGAATACTATTTGTAATGATTTTTATTTTACTAATACTTTTACATAACAATTACTACACAAAAAATTAATTATTTAGTAATTCATATGTAAATTGAGAATAACATTATTTTATAATTTTATTTATTTTTTATTTCAATAGTTTTCTGTTTAATTATTATGTTTAGCGTGTGTTTTGCATTTATATGGATATATCACGGAATCAAAGTTTTTGGTTATAATTAATGGGAATTCCCCTCAAAAAATCGTTAAAACAAATTATCAATCGATATGTCATTTTCAGAAAAAAATGACATTAAAAACACATTTTCGACATTTATTCAGATATTTATATATAAATCCAAATGAGATCTAAATTGTCGTTAAAATACGAGAAATTAGTTTTTGATGGAAAAAAGTTTTTTCTCCATTTTTATTATGATTTCATACAAAAAACAAAAACACATTAAAATTTTGTGATAAGAATTGTGTCATTAATTGTGGGGATATGCGAGTGTTTTATAGAATTATATACAGAGCGTGTTGTGTATCCCTGTCCTCCCATTCCCATTATTTTTTTGGTCCAGTGTTTTTATAAATATGTTTTCACATGCTAAATTTATTTGTCTATTTATTATGAGATTTTAAATAATAACTTCTATTTACAAAAATCAATTAAAACATACATATTATTCGTGTATATAAAGAATATTCTGTGAATTTTAATTGCTTTTTATGTCTCTATATTTCACTGAAAAAATACTTATCATTTGAAATGTAATTCTCATTAATACTTGTATAACAAAAAACCACACAATAGTTCATACAAATGACATTTTTAGTTATATTAATACATAATACCACACATTAATTACAGTTAAAAACTAATTATAATCTAAAGTCTTATCTAAATCGCGGGGAAAATGTGAATAAAAATTAGTGTTAAATAATAATAAGTTTTTTGTGCGACAATTTAAATTGTCGCAAAAACTTTTATTATACATACATTACATGTCATTAAGTGTAAAACACATCTATTTAGTGAATACACACCAAAAAATCATTTAGTTTTTTGTATTTTTGTTAGTTTTATGCATTCATTCAGCAGTTTCTATGTCTTTATACATATAATACTCTTTACTATTACTATAATTATTATTGTATTTAATACTCATATTATATATAAATATAATATACTATAAATATATCGCATAATTAATTCTACTTATGTTTATTTGTTTATCTCGCTCATATTTTGTGTCAATTTATATGAGATTTTAATTTTAAAGTAAATGAAAAACTAATTGAAAAATGTTTTTCTATACTCCAGTCGCTACCAAATAATACTCATTGAACTCATTATCACTGAAATACCGTGGTAATAGTTCATAAGATTAATTAATTAATATAACAATTATTAATATAATTAATATAATATTTAACATAATTTGTACATAACTTTATGCTCTGTTTTAGACATATTTGTAGTAAAAATTATTATTAAAATAAATGATAAAATTCTGGTAATAAATGCTTTAATAGTCAATTGTATGAATTATTTATTCAATTTGATATGACATCTATCAACAAAATAAGTAAAAACATTTATAAAACATCAAGACAATTTAATATAAATATTGACTACATTAAAAATAAAATCACCAAAATAATCATTAATTAAGGCAATGAATTTGTATAATAAGTATAGTTAATGAATCTATACAAATATAATTTAAACAATTATATAAGTTTCAATAATTACTATTAAATGTAGTAAAAATTGAAAGTACCAGAAATAAGGTTAAAAGTTTGTGAAATTAGAGAGATGAATCAGGTTAATAATTTTCATTAAGGCTATGTATTAAAAATATTTAACACAATCATATTAATATCATATTTGAATAATTATTGGTCTCGTTTTTAACTTACTTTTATTTAATCAATACGATTAATATGTTAAGTATTTTATTTTTCGTATATTTACTACTGTTCAGTATTGTATGTATAGTGCATTAGTAAACTTGATAATGTAATGCTTTGTATATTATTTAATATTAAAATAAAATATCTCTAGGTAGAGGTTTTACTTTTTCACATATTAATAAACAATTTAAATAAACTTTAATTGGGTTATATAGGTAATTTAATAACAATTATAGTACTAGATACAAAATGTCTTTAAATAATGAAGATCGAATATTTTAAATATCTCGACCAAGGTAAGTTAAAGAAATATTTTATGTTCACTATTATATGAGAATTGGAGTTTTGTAGTAGCCTTTCCAAAAACGATATTCATTTAATCACATATTAAACTATGATAAATACTCTATTTATTTCTATGTATTTATGTGTGACTCGTTTATTTAATATATATATATATATATATATTTATATAGAATTTTGTAAAAAGTGTATATATTATAGGTTTAATATTGCATAGAAATTTTTTTATTATTATAAATGGTGTTTAAATATATTTTATCTTTATTGTATAAACGAGTTTCAACAATTTGTTCAAACCTGGAATAATTTTTACATTTAACAATAAATTAATATTATTTTATTTATTACCTATTTACAAATAATAAATTGTAATGGTATATTCAATGATTGATGCAATACATTTATATAATATATTATACTGTAATAGTTGGTTGCTAAATATTAGCGATAAAAAGTTGCAACGAGTAAATTATAATAGTTTATTAATAATCATACATCTAATCAAAAGCTCACTCAAAATGCTATAATATTATGTGAAAATGTATTTCAATAAAATTGTTTTCACTGTGTTCAAGGGTTAAATAAAGTTATAGAAACCGATATTATATTTGATTGCTTTATCACTTCAAAAAAACAAAACTGCAATACTATAACAATTTCTCTGTTAATTATTTTGTTGATTAATTACATCTAATTATTATTGTGATTTGAATTCATATCTTATTATAGTTGTGATTAAATTGAAAGCAATTTTGCGCTAAATATGTTGAAAACCAATTCGTATTTCTTATTATTGTTAACGTTTGTGGTCTTCGGTTATACACATTGTCTGACTTCTGATCCCAAATGTGAGACTCATTTCAGTTATAATTATCTAACAGTGAATACCAAAACATTTTCATTGATTTACAGATGAAGTGAAGTCTGAATTCAGTTTGGGTTCCATTCAATCAGGACCTTATGAAATACGTAATTATACCTTGCTAATGTGTTAAATTATAATATAATTTTTCTTCTAACTTTTACCTGTTTTTAGACGACTTTTATACTGACTTTTGCAACAAAGGATACGCCAAAACAATTACTCTAAGAAAATCTGCAATTGAGACGACTATTCCTGTGATTCTGTATTTACATACAAATGAATCACAGAATCTGAATGAAACTGATTGTGTGGTGAGAGTCGAAATGTCCACTTCCTCTAAAAATGGTCTCATTGTAGCCATGGATGACATCCATATTGGCAGTCATGACAATGAGACGTGTAGTGATTATGTCTTAATCCAAGGTTCAA